ATTCAATAGATTTGAATGTGCACATTGTCGACGTTCCTAATAGAACCCAACAGTTACACCTAAAATGATCATATTAGCTTGGGAATATGATGAAAACGAAGTTACCTCCTTGAACGCTTGGCTGGTCGTGAACGATGCTCGAGATAACTCGGTTGCGGTGCCTCCGTGCGTGTGCGTGAGCTTCTCCATGTAGCTTGCTCTAAATCCCGCAACTTCTCTTAACTTCTCTCAACTTTGGTACTATATAAATGTTGAAAAGGTGTGGGAAAATATTCCAACTCTCCCCTAAGAGCACCCACAATGCTTTGGGTTTCTTAGAAAAAAGTTACATGCCATGTAAGAAATAGACCTAGTTTATAAAAAAGTGTTCTCCAATGCAATTAAAAGTGAACCTAGTCTAGCTTATGTGGCAATAAAAAAATGAGACCTAGTCCACACTTGGGTCTATTTTAGACCCAAGTACAAACCCAAGCACTCATCATTTATTCCTCATTTAATTTTTCTTTTAATAAATGAAATATACTAGAGCATTTTTATTGGTTGTCATGTATTCTAGACCTAGTACTTTTTGGTTTTGCATTGGATAGATTTTGGTTTTTTTAGTTTAGGTTTGTCCATGTCATTATGGACTTAAGTCTATTTATTTGCCACATATGCAAAAAGAGACCCAAAGCATTGTGGATGCTCTAATATACCAAGGCCGAAAGAATTTTGAGGAGGTGGGAAAATATTTGACCAATGACAACATGCCAAATGCTAAATACTTGAAGCTTTAAGAGTGCTTATTCATCCCTAATTTGGCTTGGTCATCACTTAATTTCCTCAAATGAGGCCACCTCACACTTAAAAAGGGAAACAAATCTCCCTTTAAATGACCACTAATATGCTCACGGCATTTAGTGCTTAAGTATCATTAATTCCTTAATTAACCATAATTAATATGTTTAATTATTTAACTAAGCTTAATGCTTAATACCAAAATTATTCCGAACGAAAACGTGACTCCGAAAATAATTCCGGATAATCTCGACTGATATTTTTAATTCCGAACTCATTAATTAAATAAACGAATTGGAATTAAATCTAGAAACTTGTTCGGTTACTGAAATAATTAAACCGAATAATTTATCGACTAATAGTCGAACTTGGAATATAACTAGCTGATTAACCTGAGCTTGAACATGAACATGATTATTCAGTAATAAAGGCTAGCTTAACATTAAAAGCTAGTATTTTCCTTTATTACTAAAACTCGGGGTGTTACAGGGGGTCTTTTGTTAGGTTGGTCCAATAATATTAGGATCTTTGATATTATCAGTAATAATTTTTGTTTTCAGGTTTGTTTTAGTTGGGGTACTGATGTTTATAAGCTTTGGGCTATCTTCATCTATGCTAATGTTTTTCCCACAGAGAGACAATCTCAATGGGATTTTTTGCTCAATTCCCAATCCTCTTGGGGGATGTGTGGTTTCTAGGTGGTGAATTCAATGCCATCTTGAATAATGGGGAAAAGCAGGGGGGTGTTCTTAGAAATGAAGGCAGTTTTCTGAGTTTTAGAAGCTTTGTTCAAAACCTGGGTGTGTTTGAATGTCCTGTGGTTGGACACCCATATACATGGTCTAATGGTAGACAAGGGCTAGACTTTGTCGAGGAGAAGCTTGATAGACTCTTGTTTTCTCCTGACTGGTTGCTCAAATTTCCCAAATCCTCAGTGCTTCATTTCCCCATGATATCATCTGATCATTGTCTTCTTCTGATGCAAACTGAGAATGAGGAGCAGAACAAGAGAAAGAGGTTTTGTTTTGATAGTAGATGGGCCAGCTGGGAGGGTTTTAAGGACTGTGTTTCCATGGCTTGGGGGCTCCCTGTTAATGGTAGAGGCTTATATAGCTTCCAGTAGAAGCTCAGACATGTCAAATTGAGTCTTCTAGGGTGGTTAGCTAGCCAGCAAACCAACTCCTCAAAAGTTATTCAGAGATGCAATTCTCAGCTCGAGATGTTGGGGCTGCAAGGAGGGAACAGAGATTGGGAGCAGTGGTCCCAGTGTAAGCAAAGATTGCAACAGGCTTATGTGGAGGAAGCGTTGTACTGGAAATCTAAAGCTAGAATCAAATGGCTTCAAGCAGGTGATAGAAACACCAAATTTTTCCAAGCATGTGTTAAGCAAAGAAGGGGGATTAATGCAGTTGATAATCTCCTGAACAACAGAGGGGTGAAGTGTAAAAGCAAAAGTGAAACTGTTGAGGTCATATCAGATTATTTCCAGAAAATGTTTCAATCAGAGAACCCTGTTTTTGTGGAAGATGTGCTCAGTGGTATTCATGTTTCCATTACTGCTGCTATGAATCTCAAACTCACTAGAACTGTGGATGAGCAGGAAATCAAAGCTGCTCTGTGGGACATAGAACCTTGCAAAGCTCCAGGTATTGATGGTTTCTCTCCTGCTTTTTTTCAATCTTATTGGGACTTAATCAATCCTGATCTTCGTTGTGCTGTCAAGAGCTTTTTTTTGCTTCTGTGATACCCAAAGCTACCAACCATACTTTCATTACCCTCATTCCTAAAATTCCTAAACATTCTAAATCAAATAATTGGATGGGTTTTTAGTTATCAACTACTGCAAATAATTAAATAAAGCAGAGAAAGTAGTAAGCAAGGACGAAGAACAATTAAGATTAAAGCGCTAGGCTATCGAGGATTTCGCTTGCGGTTCTCAATGCATTTAACACTGTGACTTATAGAATTATTTCCAAAATCCTTTCTAATAGGCTCAAGAGTGTCTTGCATGTTTGCATATCTCAATTTCAAGCTGCTTTTGTGCCTCACAGGCAAATCCTTGATAATGTTGTCCTGGCCAATGAATGTATTCATTTTTTGAATAGTAAAAGAAAAGGTAAAAAAGGATTCATGGCCCTGAAAATTGATATGGCTAAGGCTTTTGATAGGGTCGAGTGGTCTTTTCTTCTTCAGGTTTGTAGGAAAATGGGGTTTCATGATGTTTTTCTGAAATGGATCTGGACTTGCCTCAGTACTACTTCTTTATCCTTTAACATTGCAGGTCAGGTTCTTGGTAGTGTTGTTCCTTCTAGAGGTATTAGGCAGGGGGGACAGACCTTTTCATCATTCTTTTTGAAGCCCTTTCAAACTTGTTGCATCAGGCTTGCCTAATTCCAATTTCCAAGGGTTAAAAATCAGTGCTCATTCCCCGAGTATTTCTCATTTTTTTTTTGCTGACGATGTTATCATTTTTGTCAAGTAGATTTGTTCCATGCTCAATCCCTCTTCATATTTTGAATAGATGCTGCTCTGTCTTAGGTCAAGCTATAAATCTCCATAAATCGAATATCTTTTTCTCAGCTAACATCCCTGAACCTTTGAAAGTTGATATTTTTCATATATTCCAAGGCATTGTTCTGGCTAGAAGCTCTAGATATTTGGGGCTCCCTTTAGGAATAGGCAGAAACAAAAAGCAAACTTTTGATTTTGTGAGAGAGTGTGTGAAATCTAAAATCTTTAGCTGGAAACACAAGTTTTTTAGTGAGGCGGGCAAAGAAATTCTCATTAAAACCACTCTCAGTGCTCTCCCAGTTTATGTTATGTTAGTTTTCAGATTGCCTGTGGGAGTTTGTCAAGAAATTTGCAGGGAGATAGCTGGGTTTTGGTGGGGTCCTTAAGCAAATTTGGAGGGTTTCTTTCAAAAGAATTTTCTGGACATCTCTAAGAAAAACTCTGATTCTTGGATGTGGAAATGCTGGTTGGATGCTAGAAGTTGGGGTTGAGATTTCAGGTGGGAAATGGGGGCTCAATTGATGTTTGGAGGTCCCCTTGGATCCCAAACATCCCTCATTTTGTCCCAGATTGTGTTTTTGCAGGTGCTATGCAGTAGATTACCAAAGTTTCTGATCTCTTTGTTGTTGATGGGCTATTTTGGAACACAGACTTGGTTATGCAATTGTTCAGCCCCTCTGTTCCATCTCAAATTCTAAAACTCCACATCAGCCAAAGGGGGCATCCAGACAAGTTGATCTGGCAAACTCACAAAAAAGGCATCTTCTCTGTCAAAGAAGTATACAAAGCAATCAGAGACAAAAGGAAATCTGTTGCAGGGGGAGTGGGGACAAGTAGGGGCAGAGAGTCAGCTTTGAAAATCATATGGAGGAAAACATGGCACTTGCCTATCAAACCAAAAATCAGAAACTTCCTATGGAAGTGTTGGCATAATTGGTTAGGCACAAACTCTAATCTGCACAGAAGGGGAGCTATTGTTGATTTGATGTGTTGGTGTGGGGAAACTGCGAAAAATTTGGAGCACATGCTTTTCTTGTGCCCAAGAGCTAAATTGGTGTGGAAGTTAGCTGGTTTTTGGTGGCAAAGATGCAGTCTGACAATATGTGCTTTAGAGATCGGTGGGAAGACCTGTGTAATATTTCTGACTCTGCTGCTAACAAGGACAAGGTCTCTCTCTCCACATACCTCCTATGGTGGTTGTGGAGAACAAGGAACTCTTGGGTATTCAACAATGAACATATGTCTGAATTGATGGTAGTTGAAGGAGCCAGAAGTGAGTGGTTAGAATTTGAAGCAGCTAATGACCTTCTTAAGGAGGGGAGCATGAAGTAGGGAGTAGGGGTTCATTCTGTTGATCTCAGTGCTAGTGCTACCTGTCCAACTACCTGGAAGATCAGAGGCATTGCTACTCCAAGAGGGGATGCTGGGAGGATACACGGGTTTGTCTACAAGAATCCTGCAGCACCTTGCCAGACTGAGGACTCCTTAGTTCAAATCAGACAGTGGCTTTCACAGAGAGTGGACAAGCATTGGCTCAAAGCAGAGATCTTTATAAAGAATGAGGCTCTGAGATGCAAGCTTGCTAAGTAGATGCCTTTTTCCTGGCATCTTGACATTCTGGCTATGGACATCCATTCTTTGTCTTTGGAGTTTTAATCCATCTCCTTCCCTGACTTGTCTGATGCTGTATTTTAGTCTGGATATCTGCTTGGAGTGTCTTTGGTTCTGTGGGTTGTTTTTTGGCTGGTAGTTTCTGTTTTCTTTTTTGTTTTTGTGATTGGTTTGTTTGTTTTTGATTTCCCTTGTCTTAGCTTATAGCTTTGTGTTCTCTGTTTGTTGTTTTTTCTCAGACCTTGTTGGTCTTGGTAGGGAGGCCTAGCTTAGGTTTTCCCATGGACTTGTGGCCCTTTGGCCACTCGATTTGTATATTGTTGCTTGGTTCTATAATATTTTATGGTTGTTAAAAAAAAGAAGTCAATTTCGTACAATTGAAGTCAAATTAGTACAATTGAACTCGAATTAGTACAATTGAAGTCGAATTAGTACAATTGAAGTCAATTTCGTACAATTGAAGTCAAATTAGTACAATTGAACTTGAATTAGTACAATTGAAGTTGAATTAGTACAATATACTATAAAAATATTGATATTGAAGTATAAGAATAAAATTTGAAGTATATGAACATGTCGAACAATTCGAACACGAACTATATAATATAGTATATATTAATCTAATGCATAGTATACTAAATACTATATACTTACTATACTATATAATATAGTATATATTATTCTAGTATATAGTATATAATATAGATTATTGTAAGATAATAGTATATATTATGTAGGAAGATAATACTATATATTATTGTATATATTATACTATATACTATAATATACTATATATTATATTATATAGTAACATACATAACATAGTAACATAATATAATATAATATAATATATACTATAATATAATATAATAACATACTATATGCTATATATTATAACATACTATATACTATATACTATATCTTACTATATACTATAATATACTATATACTATAATAAACTACAAGACTACATTGTATAATATATTATAATATATATGTATATACTATATATTAAAAAAACTATATACTATAAAAATATTGATATTGAAGTATAAGAATAAAATTTGTGCAAAAATAATAGCGATAGCCTAGCGCGGCCTAATGGTAGGAGGTGTGCCCGGAGAAAACGGACTCACCCACATGTACAGGGTTCGAGTCTTGAATTCGGGGTCCTTCTACCATTTTTTCTTTAAACACGGATTCTGAGAATCCGGTTTTCAATTAATTAAATTGAAAAACGGATTATCATAATCCGTTTTACAAATAATTCAATGTAAAACGGATTATGAGAATCCGTCTTACTGTTACATTAAAAAAAATTCCTTCTGGACTTAGTCGAACAGAACCGAGAGAGATAGAGAGCGAAACAGAGCGAGCGAGAAGAGAAGAGAAGAGAGCGAGAGCGAGAGAAGAGAAGGATTTCATCACCAAATTCATCAATCAAGGTATCATTTCTCTTCATTTTTCTTCTTTTTTCACGATTTGAAGGATGAATTGAGGTATAGATGGTGTGTTTGTAGCAAAAACATGAGGGTGAGTTATTTATTTAAAAAAAAAAATTAAGTAGACAAAAAAAAAGTGTGGACCAAAATCAAATAGTCGTAATCTCTAAATACGTTTTTCCAAAAAAAAATTAACTAGAAAAACATATTTCGGGAATACGTCTTTATACATGCTGGATAATCAATGAAAGGCTATTTGTGATAGGCTGTCTGGGATCTCAAGAGTCAATTCTTCCAAATACCTAGGGTTACCTTTAGGGATTGGCAGAAATAAGAGAGACACCTTTAAATTCCTGAGTGAGTGTGTGCAGAAGAGAGTGAAAAACTGGAAAAATAAGTTCTTGAGTGAAAGTGGGAAATAGGTTTTAATCAAAGCTGTTTTGAGTGCTTTGCCTACATACATAATGTCTTGTTTTAAAGTGCCTATTTCTGTGGTTAAGCAATTATGCCCGGATATAGCTGACTTTTGGTGGGGGCTGAATGAGAGGGGGGGAAGAAAATTCACTGGGTGGGTTGGGATAAGCTGGTGAGAGATAAGGATAAAGGGGGGTTAGGCTTTAAGGACCTAATTGCTTTCAATGATGCATTATTAGTCAAGAAATTATGGAGATTCATTACTCAGCCAAATCTTTTGGTGATTAGAGTTATGAAGGGGAAATATTTCTGGCAGGCTAGTCTTTTTGGGGTATCTGCTAAACCACAGGACTCTTGGCTGTGGAAGAGTTTACTTGGGGTGAGGAATCATTTACAATGGGGGGCTAGGTTTAAAGTGGGGAATGGGGCTGCCATACCCATATGGAATTCTCCTTGGGTTCCAAATTTTCCTTCTATTCCTCCTGAGAGTTCTTTGAGAGATGTTAGAGCTAGATATAATATGGTGAGTGATGTTATGAGGGTGGGGAGGAGAGAGTGGGATTATGAGTTTCTTCAGCAAATATTTTGTCCTCAACTAGCTGAGGCCATAGCCAAAATTCCTCTCTCTGATCAGGGAGGGACAGATAAGATGATCTGGCACTTGCATCCTAAAGGATTGTTTTCAGTTAGGGAGGTTTACAAATCAATTATGCAGAAAAAAGTAGGACTTCAGGAGATGGCCAGTTCAAGCTTGGACCCACTGCTCATTGCTAGAATGAGGAAGGTAACATGGCACTTGTATTGAAATCTAAAATTAAGAATTTTGTTTGGAGATGTTGGTTTGGCCATTTAAGTACACAGGATCAGTTACTGAAGAGGAAAATGATGGTGGATCCTATTTGTGCTGTTTGTGGAGAAGTGAATGAGGATATCAACCACATACTGTTTCATTGCCAAAGAGCTATTACTTGCTGGAAATTGTGTGGGTTAAATTGGAACTCCCAACAGGATAGTGGTAGGTTGTTTCAAAGTTGGTGGATGAAAGTTTGATGTGCCCCTAATCTTATTATGAAGGAAGACAGGTTGGGATTGTCTGCAGTGCTTATGTGGCACCTTTGGAAAGCCAGAAATAAATGGCTTTTTAAAGGTGATTGGATCCATGACAAGCAGATTGTGGAAGATGCTAAATCAGAGTGGATTGAATGGAAGGAGTCCAAACATGTCAGAGCTCTGGATGTCTTTTCTTACTCTCATGAACATCTGTAGCAGCATAAATTTTTCAAGGAAGTAGGTAAGTCAGCTATAACTCTTAGTGCTTCACTTAATAAGGATGCTGAGATGGTTGTGGAGTGCATTATGTACCAGCAAGGAGTCATCTTGTTCCAGTGGCAGACAGTGTTACATGGGTCCTTTGAAGAGCAAGATGGATGGTTGTTGGTTGTGGTTTGGGGATTGAACAAAGCAAAGGAAGCTGGATGTAGTCACTTTTCCTTATTGTTGAATTCTGAAGAGCTGGTAGAAGAAATCCTTAAAGGACTAGCTGGGAAGGAGAATATTTCAGAATATATTGTCTGTTATTAGGGATTTAATGGAGTCTTGTAAGGTTCATGTTAGTACCATTATTTAATGTTTTTTATGTTTAGACTTCTTTGGCTTTATGTCTGGGTTGTAGACTATGACCTTTAGGGTTAGGTTTTACCTAGCTCGTGCTATTTCATTGCTTGTGTAAGTGATGTATGGACGTAGCCATTTGGTTACCGGATATTTATTTGAGTTTTAATGAATTTGTTTGCCGTATGGAAAAAAAAAGATTAAAAAAATCAAAATTCGATTAATATTTGAATATAAAAAAATAATAAATA